AAGATTATCTTGATTATTCACAAAAAAAGCGAGCCACTTTCAAAATTTCTTAAAACATGCAGACCATTTCCAGAAATTTTACCCAATCTCTCCAGCACTCCCCTCGATCTCTCCTCTTCACTCGGCCAATGCCCTCGGATAACAACGCAATGAAGGATCGATTTCATAAGGAAGGGGAAGTGTGCCCATCAGTGCGCTGTTTCGAATACCGTACTGGCCCCTAACAGTAAACAGACGATGAGGTGCATAAACGGTAGCGAGCAAAGAATGTCCATGATCGCCTAATCCAGTGAGAAAACTTTCGAAAACTATCGGGGTAACATGCGAATATTTGCAATAGATTTTGATTTCAGCCGTCTACCTACGAGCACACTTGGAAAATTCATAAGTCATACAAGAAGCAAAATTTTGCTAATCATAAAAACTAGAATTTCTTTGAGAATCCAAAAATGAAAATCTAGGCTGCCATCCAATTGTGACAAAACATGCAACTTACTTATCTATAAATCCGATTATTTGGTATAAGTACGTCCATCTATTAACGACTGCTGTGACGAAAAATCCTAACATGAAATTTAGAGGTATATAGGTAAGTCTAGCTTCACAATATATCACCACTCTCTCGAAAGTCCTGTAACATATTGTACTGTAAATGATAAATAAACGAGTGCTTGCTTCATACTTTTGTTGTTCGTACGACAAAGCGGTTCGATAGATAATGCTAAGAATTCCGTAGAACATCAACCATACAACAAGCTCCAACATCACCGCTTTCCAGATGCTTCCTCGCCATTTCAGTAGCAGTTTGAACAAAGTCCATGGTTTTGACGTTGATACAGCCAAGTTGTAATTGATCGTCATCTGTAACTCAATCACTTTGCATTTCGCTAGAAATGGTTCTTTTCCTACGTGGAAATAAATTTTTCATCAAAAAAATGAAGAAAAGTTGATTATGAAGTTATAATATATCATAAATGGAAAACAGTGAATATCCATTTACAAAAGTTTCCTGAACTGCCTATGAAGGGCCTCTAAATGCTCGGTAACATTAATTTTTCAAGTTACACAGATCAATCTTGCTTTAAAATACGAGAAGCTTTTCAATGTTGTTATGGTATCTCGCATTTTATTTTATTTGTGAGTACACTTTCAAGCACCTTTGTCCGCAAGCGATGCTTATATAATATTTACGCCAGAGCAATTTTCTCAGGTTTAACAGCAGACCAATGTCATCATGACGCAAAAATTGAGACGTATAATGTATGTAATGGCAGCGTTTTCGGAGCGTTCTTTGCTTTGGAAATCAGACCGATTTCACATAGTAGATTACGGGAAACAATTAGGCAGAAAATGCTGTTTCCATGACTCAATGAGAAATTGATTTTCATGAATCGGATCAT